GAACAAGACAATTAAATACGAAAACACAAGTGCACTGCAGAAACGATCTAGAAATAAGTAAAAATTTCTTAAATTAAGTGTATTTACCCTTAATTTGAGCAGGTAAATGAGATAGTTTGCCAATGGAATGAGTAATTTTACTCTTAAAATAAGATAATTAGATAATATGCACTTGAAATAAGACAATACAATTGTGTTTTGTTATTTTAAGTGTAAATTGTCTTGTTTCAATGGCAAAATGTCTCTTTTACCTCCTCAATTCGAGAACAAATGCACTAATTTTAAGAAAAAATGACTTATCTAGATTTAGATTTTTTGCAGTGTAAAATAGACATGTTGCCAAAGGAACAAGACAATTTACACTTAAAATAAGAAAACGCATTTGCATTGTCTTATTTCAAGTGCATGTTATCTAATTATCTTATTTTAAGAGTAAAAATGCTCATTCCATTGGCAAACTATCTCATTTACCTGCTCAAATTTAGGGTAAATACACTTAATTTAAGAATTTTTTACGTATTTCTAGATCCTTTTTCCAGTGCATATTTATTATATCTTTGGTTTAATCTTTAAGTCATTTTACAATAAATTTACTCAAGCAACAGCAAATGCTTTTGGTCATGACTAATTGTATTGTAACTCTTAATTTCCCATCTTTCCTTTTTCCTTTTTTTAGCTACATTGAAAACCAAGCAGATCTGGAGAATATTACAGAGACTGACCTTGTTTTCTACAGAGAGCTGAGAAATCTGTAAGTGCTTCACATGTCTTCTAATTAAACTTAGGATAAAGTTCTAATGGTGAAGTCAAATAAATCACCTCCTGTTGTCATTACTGTAAATCTCTGTTCTTATGTTTCTTTCAACAATGCAAAATTGAATGTATTTGCCCAATATCTTCCATGTTGACTTAAGTTAGTATTACAGTGCAATAAAAGTTGGGTGCGTTTAAACCAGAGGTGGGGAGTAACTAGTTACATTTACTTGGATAATTCTTTAACAAAAATGTACTGTTAGGAATATTTTTACTCCAATAATTCCCTCTAAGGACCCCCTTTCAGAGACATAGACAGGTATCAGGTATTGCAGGCAAAAAAAGAACCCCAACGACCCCCCTTCCAAAGGGATGGACCCATTCTTCCTGTTCTATTTGTATGTTTTCTAAGCCAAAACAAGCCTTTGTTTTTGGTTCACTCTATAAACCCTCAAACTCAACGCTATTTCTGACATTTTGAATTGAAAAAGCTGGGAAGTGAAACGTCTCCAGTGGATTGTTAACATTTTTTGGAATACTTGGGTCGAATCCTTTTTTACTCTTAAATATGACAACATATGATGAAGTAGTGTTACTCTTGCATGAGTAAAATGTTTTTGTTTTCTACCCACCTCTGGTTCAAACAAAGGAAAGCCTGGTGGATTCATTTAGGTTTAAGATTCCTCTGAATTTCTGAAAATTGTTTTCTGTTTTCCATTCCAGCACCATCACATCGTGTAAACTGAGGCTAATCTCTCCAAATGCTTTTCAAAGAAACCTCAAGCTGCAGTATGTGTAAGTGTTTTTGCTGAGAAAGAGGAGCTATCTATCCATATATGCTGTGGTTTTGCTCTATTTGCTTGTCATCTCTTTAATGTTCATATTTGAAGTCTTTCTGAATTAATCAACTAACATTGCAAACACTGGAAAAAATCTAAATCTAGATCAGTAATTTTTTTTTAAAATAAGTGTATTTGTTCTTGAATTGAGGAGGTAAAAGAGACATTTTGCCAATGGAACAAGACAATTTACACCTAAAATAAGAAAACACAATTGCATTGTCTTATTTCAAGTGCATATTCTCTAATTATCTTATTTTTAGAGTAAAGATACTCATTCCATTGGCAAACTATCGTATTTACATACTTAGAATAAGGAGAAATACACTTAATTTAAGAAATGTTGACTTATTTCTAGATCGTTTTTGCAGTGAACAAAAAAGGAGGGGTGATGGTGGGGGGGCACCAAAACAATTAATTGTTCCCAGAAAAAAAATGTCCTCTAATTCAAAGATTAGAAAATAGTTTTAACTGTTTTTGCTCAGCAGTATTCATTGCCATTAAAATCTATATGAACATTTTTACTCAAACAACGATAAATTTAAGCAGGTCTATTAAGGATGTTGCTCCAGCTGCTTTGCACGTCTAGAGTTTAAGAGAGTTTAAGTCAATGAATGAATAATTTGGAGACGTAATTTAAAAAAAACACTTAGGTCATAGTTGAATTCTAACAGTAAAATCAAGTTAAACTTAAAAATAAGTAAACGTTAACTTATGTCTCCAAATTTGCCGCCTTGTTCTTCCACAGTTAGGCTAGAAGAGATTGTGAGATTAGATTTTAGAGTTTTTCTGCTACTGAGCCTAAAATAGATCAAACTTATGGAAACCACATAACTTATTTTGTTTAAGCATATTCTCCAGGGTTTTAGTGTATAAATGAAAATGATAGCAAACTAACTACACTGCAAAAACAATCTAGAAAGAAGTAAAAAAATATCTTAAATTAAATATATTTAGCCTTATTTTTAGTAGGTAAATCNGCCAAAGGAACAAGACAATTTACACTTAAAATAAGAAAACGCATTTGCATTGTCTTATTTCAAGTGCATGTTATCTAATTATCTTATTTTAAGAGTAAAAATGCTCATTCCATTGGCAAACTATCTCATTTACCTGCTCAAATTTAGGGTAAATACACTTAATTTAAGAATTTTTTACGTATTTCTAGATCCTTTTTCCAGTGCATATTTATTATATCTTTGGTTTAATCTTTAAGTCATTTTACAATAAATTTACTCAAGCAACAGCAAATGCTTTTGGTCATGACTAATTGTATTGTAACTCTTAATTTCCCATCTTTCCTTTTTCCTTTTTTTAGCTACATTGAAAACCAAGCAGATCTGGAGAATATTACAGAGACTGACCTTGTTTTCTACAGAGAGCTGAGAAATCTGTAAGTGCTTCACATGTCTTCTAATTAAACTTAGGATAAAGTTCTAATGGTGAAGTCAAATAAATCACCTCCTGTTGTCATTACTGTAAATCTCTGTTCTTATGTTTCTTTCAACAATGCAAAATTGAATGTATTTGCCCAATATCTTCCATGTTGACTTAAGTTAGTATTACAGTGCAATAAAAGTTGGGTGCGTTTAAACCAGAGGTGGGGAGTAACTAGTTACATTTACTTGGATAATTCTTTAACAAAAATGTACTGTTAGGAATATTTTTACTCCAATAATTCCCTCTAAGGACCCCCTTTCAGAGACATAGACAGGTATCAGGTATTGCAGGCAAAAAAAGAACCCCAACGACCCCCCTTCCAAAGGGATGGACCCATTCTTCCTGTTCTATTTGTATGTTTTCTAAGCCAAAACAAGCCTTTGTTTTTGGTTCACTCTATAAACCCTCAAACTCAACGCTATTTCTGACATTTTGAATTGAAAAAGCTGGGAAGTGAAACGTCTCCAGTGGATTGTTAACATTTTTTGGAATACTTGGGTCGAATCCTTTTTTACTCTTAAATATGACAACATATGATGAAGTAGTGTTACTCTTGCATGAGTAAAATGTTTTTGTTTTCTACCCACCTCTGGTTCAAACAAAGGAAAGCCTGGTGGATTCATTTAGGTTTAAGATTCCTCTGAATTTCTGAAAATTGTTTTCTGTTTTCCATTCCAGCACCATCACATCGTGTAAACTGAGGCTAATCTCTCCAAATGCTTTTCAAAGAAACCTCAAGCTGCAGTATGTGTAAGTGTTTTGGCTGAGAAAGAGGAGCTATCTATCCATATATGCTGTGGTTTTGCTCTATTTGCTTGTCATCTCTTTAATGTTCATATTTGAAATATTTCTGAATTAATCAACTAGGAATGCAAAGAAAAAAGGAGGGGGGGGGGGGCACCAAAACAATTAATAGTTCCCAGACAGAAAAAAAATCCTCTAATGCAATGGTTAGAAAAAGTCATAGTTTTAACTGTTTTTGTTCAGCAGTATTCATTGCCATTAAAATCTGTATAAAATTTACTCAAACAATGATGAATTTAAACATGATTTTACACCGACAGGAAGTGGTACTTGTATGTGAAGAGACTGAACATCAGCGGCTCCTATGGGTCCTTCTGTTGCAGCAGGTCGTTCTGGCTTGTTGCTCCAGCTGCTTTGCACGTCTACAGGTTGAACATGTTTTCCATTCTGGGGAAACTCTCCACTTTCTTCTTAAAGATTTGTCTTTTTGCAGATTCTTGGGGGTATTTTGGTTTGGACCTTCAGCCACTTAAACAGATGGACATGCCATGATGGAAATAATTTCTGTTGCTTTGGCAGAGTGTTTTATGTTGTTGTCCAGTATGAAGTTCAATTCAATTCTGTTCATTTCTGTTTATTCACAACACACGTCATCTCAAGGCACTTTACAGTTCAACCAGATCATCCAGTCAGATTGATTCAAAGTTTTCTATCCAAGGAAAACCAGCTGATTACATCGACTCATTGACTCGAAGGCGATCTCTCACACTAAGCATGCTTGTAGCGACAGTGGAGAGGAAAATCTCCCTTTGAACAGGAAGAAACCTCCAGCAGAACCAGGCTCAGTGTGAGCGGCCATCTGCTGAGGCCGACTGGGGTTCAAAGTTGAACCTTTGCCACAATCCCTGATCTTTTTTTAGCTTTCAACTGTCACTTTTTGCCTGTATTTATTTTTTTCCACCTTATAGTCAATCCCAATCTGTTTCTTGTCCCTGCTGAAGAAAAGCAAAATCCATCCATCCATTTTCTGTCTCGCTTCAACCCTGCTGGGGTTGCGAAGGGCGCTGGTGTCTATCTCCAGCTGTCTACGGTCGAGAGGCGGGGTCCACCCTGGACAGGTCACCAGTCCATCGCAGGGCAAGACAGAGACAAACTACCATTCACACACACACTCACACCTAAGGAGAATTTAGAGAAGCCAATTAACTATGTAAAACCATGTCCCTGTAGGCTGCTACTCTAGTTCATGCTGTCCAAGGTGGACAGTCATGTTTTAGGAGGTTATTGGTTTCATAATGGGTTGAACAGCACTGGTGACCCAATGACTCAATTTTCTTGAATTGAGGAGGTAATTGAGACACCTTGTCAATGGAACGAGACAATTTACATTTAAAATAAGAAAACACAATTGCATTGACTTATTTCAAGTACATATTATCTAATTATCTTATTTTAAGACTAAAAATACTCATTCCATTGGCAAATTATCCCATTTACTTACTCAAATTAATGGTAAATACACTTAATTTAAGACATTTTTCCCAAATTTTTAGATGTTTTTTGCAGTGTAGGTGCACAAAACCCTAGGTTCAGAGAGAAGATGGAGAAGTTTGGGCTTGTGAAAGATCTCCGTTTCCACAGCGACCACAAATAAAAACTTGGGTTTTATATCAATTTGGTGAATTCAGGCTTGTGGCTGGATGGCTCAGTTTCTATTACCTGCCAGTTCGCACATTGTCAAAAGTGATGTTGAACTTTGACTGTTTTGGCACAAGCCTTTCAAATCAACAGACTTCAGTGCACAGCAGTGAGTGCATTGCATAGAGAGAAGCAGAAAACCCTCTGGACACGCGTCTGACTTCAGCGTGCACCAGTATCCAAATCAAAGTATTAAACAAAGGGACTCTGCTTATTAGGGTGTTTGTTTGTTTTTCAAACCTTTGATGTAAAATTGTTTTTTTTTAAACATTCTATCTATAGATAGACATAATGTTTATGTATATTAAGATATAAATAGAAACATAGTAAAATTAAAAATTAAAAATTGGTGACTATATTTATCACATACACCCTAAAGCCGGGCATACACTGTATGATTTTTTGCCCTTTTTCGGGCCGATTTTCCAGTCGTGCGTGAATTTTGCGATCGGGCCGACTTTCAGCCTCTTGGTGTGTCGTGCATCATGTAGTGTACAGGGGGTAATGAGGGGCAATCAATCACCTCCCGATCAGGAATCATAAGGTCAGGAGAAAATCAAACATGTTTGAAATTCAGTCGCTAAGAGGGCATGCGCAAACAAGGTTTCTTCTTTTTCCTCTCAGAAGAAAACACAGAAGCATGGTGGGGCTGCAATGAGTGAAATGGAGTTCTTTCTGTAAAATTGACAGACCGTAGTAGCCACGTTTGCTCAGCCATGTCTTTGTCCAAATACGTTGTCGCATTTTCTTTTTAGGGCTTTCAACACAAAATGGCACGAATTGCCAAGACAGTGCGTTCACTCTAGTGAGCTTCATATTCCTCTACTAATTATTTGGCTTCCGGATAGACGAGTCCAACCAGCGCCATCTCACTTCGGAGTCCAACGTGGTTTTTAGACGTACAGTGTTAGCAGGTAGATCAACATACATCGCGAGCTGTGAACTTTTAAACCCTTTGGTTTGTTCGTACATTGTGAGCTGTAGCTGCGTGCAATGATTGAAAAAACTGTAGTGTATGCCCGGCTTTAGGAACCAGTTGTAACACAAAAAGCAGCTTGCCAAAGGTTCCTAGGT